TTCAGTTTTCATTTTTCAGTTTCTACTATCCGGTATCTTCTGCCTTAATCACAAAAGAATGGATTTAAGTAATTTTTGGTAGCATATATCCGTATTGAAATTTCACTCTTTTTGTATAGGAAATACATTGATGAAGCTCAGCGACATCCTTTATACGGCATTTTTAGGAGTAAGACTTACAAATATATTCCAGTTCCTTTGAAGATGGCATTGGTTGTAATTTGTGTTCAACCTTGTAGTGTAAGGTCAAGAGCTGCAGCCTGCCTAGCTGAAGCTCTTCAAGAATCTGAAACGAAGCCATCAGTTGGAATCATCGGTAAATCTTCTTTTCATCTTGATCATAACCAAAGCTACACTGACATGATAGCAGAAAAAATTTAAAGGGGGAGGGGTATTGAGATTAGAAGTTGATAGATCTTTGTTACGAGATGAGATTGTCATTGTGGATTCTTTAAACAGTGATAAGTGTATTTTTACACACTTATTTAGGTCACAAACATGACTTAATTACGAGTAAAATAATTGATTTGTGACTTAATTTCATTATATTTGTGAATTGTAGGGAACACCGATGAACATGGTAAAATTCAGGAAAAAAGACGCGAAAAAGGACTAAAATGATACAAAGTGAAAGTTCAGGGACGAAGGTGCAATTATCCAAAAGTTGACTCGATGAACAAATCAAAAAATTGATTGAGCCAAATGCCAATTGATGATATCTTGGGATGATGGAATGGAAAGAATGAAGAAAATATGTCAAAAAGTGAAAGATTCAAGTAGAGGGACCAAATTGGAGAAAATGAAAGTTAGAGTCTACCATGCGACCGCATGGTAGAACTCTCATGCGGTCGCACGAACGAGTGCAGGGAATTCTGGAGATAGCATGGCATAACCATGCGACCGCACGGATTAAAGCCATGCGGTCGCATGGTAGGTTTCCGACACGAAAATTTTACTTTCCTTGTATGATTGAAACTCTTTTGGTAACCTAATTTTCACACGATATAAATACCAAAAGACGTCCAGAAAGGGAAGAACGTAATTGGAGGCAGAAAAACACTTCTTGAAGAGGATTTTGAGCGCAAGAACGAAGATTGGCATGAAGAGCTTCAAGATTTCATAATCCGGTGATGCCTTTTATTCAAAACCTGATGTATTTTGTTATTTTAACTATGTTAGATTAGATTCTCATGTGTTAGGAGATCGATATACCATGTAGTTAGATCTTTAATTTTCTAGTTTTGCAATTTGACATTAAGATATATTTCTATTGTTTTGAATGATTTATATGCAATTAATGTTTCCGCAATTAAGGGTCTGTAATTGTGTGAGTTTGGGTGATTTATTCTTGCATTCGAGAGAATTGGAATATATTTGACATAATATAAATAATCGTAGGGCCCATAGGGGATAGAAATATACCGCTATACCCTATGTGAATTTTTAAGTGTTCATAAAACTGCATGCATTTTTACATATGCATTTGTCATAAAAATATAGACAGGTGGTATGTAGAAATATGTTCGATACATCTCGAGAGAGGGTATTGGATAGATTTAGGAACATTGATTTGTTAACAATTGAAATGTGTTGTCATATTGTGAAACTAGGGTTTAAAGTGATAATTGCATGGAAAATCATGATCCTAGTGCGTTTAATTTCTATTGATTACAGCTATACCCTATGTGAATTTTTAAGTGTTTATAAAATTGCATGCATTTTTACATATGCACTTGTCATAGAAATATAGGCCGGTGGTATGTAGAAATATGTTCGATACATCTCGAGAAAGGGTATTGGATAGATTTAGGAACATTGATTTGTTAACAATTGAAATGTGTTGTCATATTGTGAAACTATGGTTTAAAGTGATAATTGCATGGGAAATCGTGATCCTAGTGCGTTTAATTTCTATTGATTACCACTATACCCTATGTGAATTTTTAAATGTTTATAAAATTGCATGCATTTTTACATATGCACTTGTCATAGAAATATAGGCCGGTGGTATGTAGAAATATGTTCGATACATCTCGAGAGAGGGTATTGGATAGATTTAGGAACATTGATTTGTTAACAATTGAAATGTGTTGTCATATTGTGAAATTAGGGTTTAAAGTGATAATTGCATGGGAAATCGTGATCCTAGTGCATTTAATTTCTATTGATTACAACAACGTGCGTTTTCAACATTTGATTTCATTCTAGAGTGTTAAAATATTGTTTTGCATATTAATTTTAATTTAATCATAAAATTCGTATAATTAGGGTTTATTTCCAAAATTAGGGTTTAATTAGGTCTACATTCACTTTGATAATTTAGTTTCGGTTAAGATTATGATAGATGAAATTTGAACTAATCAATTTCTGTGGGACGATATTCAGATTCATTTAATCTACTTTATTACTTGTTAACGAACCATACACTTGCAATAGTTTTAAATCGAAAGAAAATATTTTGTGAACAAACAGCATAAAGGGTTATAGGTACGAGCTATGGTGTTTGGCTAGCGCAGCCGGAATCCGATATTGTGTTCTTCACTGTGACGTTGAAGAGGCTTACTGTCGAAAATTGAACAAAGAACGTAGGGAAAAATTGGAGTCCGCTTACGATAATAAAATAATTGAAGATCTTTTAAGGAGGTTTGAGAGGCCACACGGCAGAAATCGTTGGGATTGCCCCTGTTTGAGTTATGACCTTCAAGAGATGGGATTGAAAAATCTTCTGCTGCTATAGTGGATGCTATCACGTACCTGACGAAAAAGGTCGAATCGAAGACAAGGGATGTCAAAGTTTTACGTCCAACACTTGCAACACAAAATGCAAGGATTACTGAGGCAACTTCTCTTTATGAAATGGACAGAGCAACACAAGAGGTAGCCATTATGATAGTTGAAGCTCAATCCCAAGCTATGGGAAGCCCACTCAGTGGTGGTGTGTCTCTTGGGCCTGGATTACCAGCAATTGATATTTCAAGGCCTGTTCGGTTGCCTGAGCAACGTAGGCTAAGACGAACTTTCATAAAATTAACTGGGCAATCGAGCTTAAGTGGCCCACCGCCACCTTCAGATGCTGATAGTGCAAAGAGGAAGTTTATTGATTACTTGATCAGGGAAATAGGAACCGGTTAAATTAAGAATGTGGATGCATTTAGTGTTTAATACACTATGAAGCAATGTTCCCCTTCAGATAATGTATAATATAGGGTAGGTTTTGTTGTAATTTAAATAGCACGTAGCATTAGCCGTTTAGGTTGGTTGAAATTGAATAGGAACTAGTGAGACTGAGACAGACCCAAAAGGGCCAAACGTCATTGCATATGGAATATTTTGTGGGAGTTGTGCTGTTATGTTGGGGACAAAGCAATATAACAATTCTTTTAACTTGCCTCCAGTTTCAGCTTTGTTGCAACATTTTTATTGTTCATTAACAGTGAAAAATAGGGTTAGGATTAAAGGGGGGTAATTGGAGAATTTTTCGCTAAACGTGAGATTTTATTTTCTAGAATTCGTTTTATTTAAAAGATCTGTAATTTCACAATAATATGAAGACAACAACCTCAAGTCAATTTCTAGGTTTAACAGGACCACATCGCTCGCGTAATGGATACTTCTAACAAAGTAACCAATTATGTCACAAAATTTAACTTTGGTGATTCAATTGGTAGACAAAAATACTTCAATGACCAGTTTAAAATTTGAATTGAATTTCAGTGACCATTGTTCTAAAATTAACTAATGAGTTTTTACTTATTGGTTAATAATTGGTATTATTATATACTTGTACCCACCCAGTTTATTACTAGCATTTATTGCTCAGACATTATAGATTTGATTCTTAATATATACGGAGTTTTTAAATAAGGAGTTGTACTGTGTTTATAGGAGAGTGAACCCCTCCAGAACGCATACAAAGGGAGATGGGTGGATATTTTGTGAACCCTTCCTTTGTACACACAAACTAATTCTTAAATAAATACCTCCTTTAATGTTCATACTCTTTCCCTCTAAGATGGGACAAAGTAACACATATCATTTTTCAATGTTTCAATATTGTAGCGATTGTTAATATATTTATCCGAACATCTTTCAATAAAATAATATTACGTGCAAATCTAATTTTTCCTTATTTTTTAACCACACATCATCCATTCATTTATTATTCTAAAATGCATTTTTACAATAAAATGGGGCCCAAAGTGGCTCCGACTAAAACTTGCACATAATCAACTTGATAAGTAGACCTACGCATAGAATAGACTCATTTAATTACAAACATTAAGGCTTTCTTTGATTCCTATTTTTTTACAAAATACATTTTTTTATCTTTTCTTTTTAACCACACATTTTTAATAAAATAATATAATGTGCAAACCCAAAAAAATTTCTTATTTTCTAACTACATATTTTCCATCAAATCATTATTCCAAAATGTAAGGCATCAAATCTCTTGTTTATTTTGAATTCAATTTAATAAAATTTATCCAAATTTAATTTTGATTAATGAAATGAATGAAGTTGTTGTGTGTAACACTAACTTTTATTAAAAATTTTAAATTCAAGATGTTGTTTGTACATCTTCTAATAGAAGATATATATAAGAAATAAAGTAGTTTATACGATTCATTGCCTATTGGCAACATCTCTTTAATCGGAGTATGATACTAATAAAATAATAATACAAAAGATGATGATTATTATTATAACAATGCACACAGATATGGGTCACTTTTAGCTTAGTGTTTAAGTTGTAACATAGCAAAGATGAGGACAACATACGCTTGAAGTGGAGTAATGCTATTCCTAGTCGTTCACTGCGGCAGTCACCCTACGTGGCATATACATGATAGGTGATTATTTGATACATTAATGTGGCAGTTTTTTTATTCATCAATACATCAAATAACTTGCTACATCTCGAGAGGTGTGGACACCCCAATACAAAAATTATGTATAAGTAGCTTTTTTTCAAAACACAATTATTCCATCAGGCTTCTCTCTCATTCTCAATGTGCGAGCCTGCCTATGGGATTGGATCTGAAAATCACACAAATGGAATTCCAATACAATTTTATAATATATTATATATTTTTTATATATGTCTATTTTCTCACGATTATATAGACTACAAGCTCAAAAAAGCTGTTCCCCACAACTGTCTCTCTCTAAATTTGTCAATGGCGAATCCATATTGTGCTTAATCTCTCTCAACGGTCTCTATGCGTACATTTTTTTCATATATCTACATGCTTCAACCACATGGTAGGGAAAATCACTGATCACGTTTTCGAGCATTTGTTTATTTTAGTCTGCATTCAAGATTGCTTTTTGTGAAAACGCTAATTGTGTTGTTTTGGATCTGATCTGATTTTGGATCTGAGTTAATTTGTCATGAGAATTTTTGGGTTGCTTTTTTATTTATTTATTTATGTTTTATGCGCAGTTTTAATGATTGTTAATGGTGTATTGCAGGTTTGATTTGATCTGGAGGCTTTAATTCGTTGTTTTTGGAGTGGTTTACTGTTGGAATTGGAATTGTTTGTTTCAAAATTGGCGTTGTTGTTGATGAAAATTCTGGAGGCCTCTTTTAGTTGGAGTGACCCTTGACATATGTAATGAAGGCTTAAAGGGAGGGTTTTGTTGCCGGTATTCTACAATTGCATAATAAATTATGATTTTGATAGCTTTATCGTGTCATTTCACTTAATGATTTGCTGATTTTTTGGTTTGGTGGATGCTCGAATGGTCTTTTCCAATGCCAGTTGATGTTGGTCGGAGTCTTGATCATACGATTTATGGAAGATTGTATCTGATGAACGGTTATAGTTTTCGGAGTTCTTGGAGATTAATGTTGGAGCAATAGCCCATAAACACTGGGTTTTTTGTACTAACTTTAGGAGAAGATTGCAGAAATTGGACATGAGAAGCTCTTGGTTCCATAAACTATCATTGATTTTTGGACCTAGACCGCCACGCAACTGGTTACTTCTGTGTCTAGTTAGCGTCTTTCTTCTGATTGTGTTACTTGGATCATCTCCTCCAAGTGCATTTGACTCCGCGAGTGTTTCTGTGAGATCTGACATTTATACAAACTATAGAAGGCTAAAGGAGCAAGCAGCAGGTGATTATTTGGAGTTGAGGAATCTGGTAACTAATCATGTGAAGGATTTTGATCTTTGTGGGAAGGAAAGAGAAAATTATGTGCCTTGCTATAACGTATCAGCAAATCTGCTGGCTGGTTTTCAAAATGAGGAAGAGTTTGATCGGCACTGTGAAATACCACGAGATCAACAGCATTGTTTGGTTCGTCCCCCAAAGGACTATAAAATTCCTTTGACTTGGCCAACTTGTAAGGATGTTATATGGAGTGGAAACGTGAAGCTCACTAAAGATCAATTTCTTTCGTCTGGAAGCATGACAAAAAGGTGTTCTTAATTCCTTGTAATTGTACCTTGGTCTTGGAATTGAAATTTCTGGCAGATAGTTCAAATAAAAATCGATTCATCCCAGATAGAGAAAAAGCAAGAGTAATTTGAGAGAAATATTTGTAAAATGCTCAACTTATATCTTTCAGTTACAATAATGATATATTCCTTGGGGATTTAACTGTTTTTTTCTTGTTGGAATAATTAGCACATTTTTATATATAAGACATACTTGCTTCCTGTTGGTAGGTAAATATTGTAACTTTGCACATTTGCTTTGCATAATGTTCGTTGTTGCAAATTTTATAGGCTAATGTTGCTAGAAGAAAATCAAATTTCGTTCCTTTCAGAGGATGGGATGATGATTGATGGTGTTAAAGATTACGCTCACCAGATTGCTGAAATGATAGGATTGGGAAGTGACACTGAATTTCTCCAAGCTGGCGTAAGTTTTGCCTCACTATGTGTAGCTCTATTTCTCGCTTTTTAGGTTTGGCTGACTTCAACTTTATTAATTTACCAAATATTTCTATTAGCAGCATTGACGTACTTAAATTTATATTAAACTTGAAACAACAAATATATGTTTCCTCTTCTTTTTTGCTGGAAGCTCTGTACACAATAGCATTGTCTTCTATATGAAGATTTACTTCTGCTGAATTGCAGGTGCGCAATGTACTTGATATTGGCTGTGGGTTTGGTAGCTTTAGTGCTCATCTGCTCTCACTTAAGTTGATGGCTCTGTGTATGGCTGCATATGAGCCAACAGGTAGCCAGGTTCAGCTGGCACTTGAGAGAGGTCTCCCGGCAATCACTGGCAACTTCATCTCAAGACAGCTGCCATTTCCATCCTTGTCGTATGATATGGTTCACTGCACTCGGTGTGGCATTGTCTGGGATGACAAAGGTATAGTCCTCATTATGGTTTAAGATTTTATTCTTCCCCCCTTAAATCACCATTTGTTCATTGCAAGGCTTCCTTTTCCACACTGGTGTTATTCTTTGTTGCAGGCCTAAATTTTCTTTTCAGTTTGTTAATTATTAGGTATATAAATGTTATTTGCACCGAGACAGTATGATAGATGTACTGGATGCTGCTGTATGAGTTTGTTGTTTTTCTGAAATCTCTTTAGACACGCTTATATTGAACTCAGAGACCTTTCAAATAAATAATCTATTTGGCATCTTTTGTAAAAATGGAATGTTATTTTTGGCTTGGTTTTTTAACTAATGTAGGTGGGTTTTTGGCATGGTGATTCTACTCCATTTTAGAGTCACTTCATCGATTTGCCTTTCCTTTGTTTGCAGTAATATTTGCTTTGACTTTTGAAGAGGGAGCTTGACACTGGGAAATATCATGAAAAACCAAAACACGTTCGTCTATTAGAAAGTATTAAATACCTGTAATTGTCAGATTCATCATTAAATTACACCTTTGTATATAATTGAGTTTTTCATTATTTCTTTCATTTCATATACTTTTGATCTACTTCTCATGAACATCTAAATGAAGTTTAGGTTGTCAAAGCATTGCCTGATGTTGTTGAATGAATTCCATGGCACAAGAGTGCACTAAAGCCGACTGTGATTTAATAGATAACATCCAAAGATTTTTAGACATGAGATCTGTTCTTGCTTTTCGATCCAATATCACGAGAGAGAGTTTTTAAATTGTGCATATTAGTTTATTTCTAATGCAATAGAGACATTACCAACAGAAACATGTTATTTTGTTTTACCTTACAATTATGTTATGAATAGAATTATGACATCAATATTATCTTAATACTGTGATAAGATAGGTTTTGGCCCTCACAATATTTCTGTCTGATGGTATACGATTCTTTTTCTAAATCAATGAATTATGAAACCCTGATGTTGCAACAATAAAATGTGAATGTATTATGGACTACTTTACAAAAGTTAATTTATCTATGCTTATTAAATTAATGATGCTGAAGCCAGAATACAGCTCATAATTGAAGGACTCTTGGTGCTGTATGTTAACTATATATACATGATTTTCTCTTTCTCCATTTAACGTTTAGGTTGGACCAGGGGGGATGATGAAATGGGTTAAAGTTCTAAGACACTCAAGGAATTTGATTTTGGACCTATATATTGCATTATATTAATAATGTTTTTATTTGTCAGAGGGGTTGTTTCTTATTGAAGTTGACAGAGTAATAAGGCCAGGAGGTTACCTTGTTTTAACCTCACCTCGAAGCAGGCAGCAGGGAAGTTCCATGGACGCAAAGAAAGGAAGCATGTCTACTCCTTTTGAAGAATTCACCCAAAAACTTTGTTGGAATCTTTTGGCACAGCAAGAAGAGACCTTCATCTGGCAGAAAACTGCAGATTCTCAATGCTCATCTAGGTGAGACAAGTGGCTTTCACTTATTCTTCATTTGCCCTTTACTCTTCCTCGGCCGGTCTTTTCTTACAAGTTCTCTAAAGCGTCTCTGCCTTTGTTCACTTATCCCCCGATCTCTCCTACATCATCATAATCTTATTCATCTTTCCCTAAAGCCCTTTTTTTCTTTTGGTTCTTTTTTGTAGCAAAAGAGACAATTTACCACTTTGTAAAGGAGATGACGTCCAATCATATTATCAACCGCTTCCACATTGTGTAAGTGGGACAGCTAGCAAGCGATGGATCCCGATTCAGAAAAGTTCTTTTGGTTCTCTGAGTTCCACTGAGCTTGAAGTCCATGGTGAGTATTACTATTTTGATACCATTTCAAATCTATTGTAACATGCTAGAATTTGCTGCTTTCACTTAAAATTTACGAATAGTTTGTATATTGATTCAACTGGCATGTAGGAGTTAATCCAGAAGATTTCTCTGAAGACATGGAGTTTTGGAGATCTGCTTTAAGAAATTATTGGTCATTGCTTTCACCCTTGATTTTCTCTGACCATCCAAAGAGGCCAGGTGATGAAGATCCGTTGCCTCCATACAATATGGTTCGGAATGTAATGGACATGAGCGCCAATTATGGAGGTTTAAATGCTGCAATAATGGAAGCAAAAAAATCAGTGTGGGTAATGAATGTTGTACCCATAAGCGAACATAAAACACTTCCTCTCATCCTTGACCGAGGTTTTACGGGCATCTTGCATGACTGGTAAGATGTATTAATTACAGATGGCCTTTTTAGTACTGGCAGACCTATTGTAGGCTTACAACAAGTCAAAGTTAACTTGGGCGACTATCCTACACTAAATCCTATATGTGGATATATGTTCCAATTAACTGCAAACTTTTAGAACCCAAAATTAAGTTTATCTTTTCAAAACGAAACATAAATTATTGAGCAAATTATAGTCTAACTCAAAATTGATTCCACACGATTCATCTCGTTTGTTTGTCTGAACTCAAAATTGATTCCATGTGATTTATCTCGTATGCTACAGTCTTCTTGAAGTTACAGGCCAAGGCATCATGTCTTTTTGGGTTTTCTAGTCTTTTGCCAAATTGAAATTGATTCCCTTATTTTTTTTTTGCATGCTTACCCGTTGGCTTGAAATTACATGCTAGGCATCATGTCTTCTGTGATTTGCCTTCCCCCCCTCCATGGTTTGCATCCTTGGATTGTATCCTTCCTTTCCATTTCAACTAAAAATTTTCCATCAACAAGTTTACTAAAACTCAACTTCTATGCAACTTTAACAGAAAGCTGATTTCGATATTCTAAAATCGAGTACAGGTGTGAACCTTTTCCTACTTACCCTCGGACTTATGACATGCTTCATGCAAATAGACTCCTGTCACATCTTGCTTCAGAGGGATGCAGTATGATTGATTTACTATTTGAAATGGATCGTATTCTTCGGCCCGAGGTAATTGTTCGTGGAACTTGTTGATCAATGGCCCTAATGTCTACATACATATAACTGGAACGAAACTTGTCCCATAAGTTATTCCTTATGCATGCATAGTTCCTTCTTCTTGATTTGGATTTGTCTTGGCTCTTGAATTTATTTGAGAGATTTTTGCTTGGTGGCAGGGATGGATTATTATTTCCGATAAGGTTGGTCCTGTAGAAAGAGCACGAATGATTGCTACACAGCTTCGCTGGGAAGCCCGCGTTATTGATCTTCAGAATGGCAGTGACCAGCGGCTACTAGTATGTCAAAAGCCCTTTTTGAGAAAATGATTTTCCGCGTACAAAACCTTTCTCCATCCCGAGGACTGTCAAGTTTTTTGAACTCTGGTAATTCCCTTAGGCCCATCTCTGAATTAGGAACAAGCCGATCATCGTTTGAAGTGTTCTCTATAATTAGTTTTTGATGAAATAACTATGCACTCTAGGATCCAAGCCTGCCCAATATGGTATCGGATTAAATTTGGCTCCATATCGATGTGGATGGACAAATCACCCAGGGATAACGGAAACAGAAAATTTTGGAAGTTGTAGATTAGAAGAAGGTTTGCTGCAGAAGTACCCAGTTCATACAGTAAGATTTTTCCCCTTGAAAGGGAGTATGTTGTGGCAAATCATTTATCTGTTTTCAATTTTTTTTTTTTTAAATTTCCATATTCATTTATTTTATTTGTAATTGAATTTTGCTTGTACTAAACAACTGTGATTCTTGACTGATTGCTAGAGGACATAAATGTAAGTAATTAAGATAGTGAATTTTGCAATTTAATCCCATAGTTCTTATTGAATAATGTTTACTTGTGTGTGGCAGTGGGGTTACTACCACATTCTTCATTGAATTTCTTAAAAGTAACATAAATTTAATTTTAAGTAATGTTATTTCTTGTACATCAATATCATTTCCTTTTTTTTTTTTTTTTTTTTTTGTGGGGGTTGTTAAAAGTGAAAAAAGGTTGCACGCATTTACAGTAAACGAGAAATTTTCACAAACTATCAAGAATGTTCTATTCTTGATCGAGCACTTTGCGATTTCTTCTCTCCAGTCGCTTATTTTATTACAGTCGATAAGAAATTGCATGCAGCCTCGGTTGATCCAACTTTTGAAACACTAGGATGCGTTAGTTTGAGCAGCCTTCTGAAATTACAAAAACGAGCCATCAGTACACTTTCCCGTATCAAAACTTCGGCCAAGTTTTCAAAAAGTAACATTTTGTACTGAAAATCTAGATTAAGTTTCTTTTAAGTAACTTCAAACCAGGGGGAAAATAAGTTTGATTCAGATAACAATACCCGTTTTTGTTCCTCAATGTTTGCTTTGATAAGGGAATAGATTGCAACTCCAGCGATGGCTACTGCCGTGCCAATCCCAGTTTGTGTGGAGATTCTATTGCCTGAAAAGTTTTTGAAAATCTTAGAATCAAGGTGTAGAAGGAAAGAATAATGTTAAAACATCAGTTTTGGCGGCGCTAAGTGATAGGTTTAACAGAATGTAAAATTTAGTTACTTATTTAATTATCTCTCTCATTTAATGTCACGTTAATATCAACTAAACTGATATTTTAACGCTAGTGGTGCTAATAGCATTGCTGAAAAATATATTTAAGCAAACACGCAGCTCTAGCAAGAGTGGTTGTGTAACATTGCATCCAGATTTCATAACAGAACCAAAGATGGGAAAAACTTTCGTACACAGCAGAGGAAAGAAAGATTTATTTGCTGAAGAATCTTATTTAAAAGCTTAAACCAGTAATATAAGCATGGAAAAGAGAGAAGTTATTACCAAATACCACAATTGAGAACCCGATCACGAAAACTCGCTTCAACACATTACCAACAGCATGTGTAAGAGGTGCAACCCTTTCCAAAGTGTTTGTGGCTACCTGCAATTATGTTGAAAAGAACATGAAATTCCAAGAACATATTCAGGAATACGAAAACTATGAAAAACTTATAAAATGAAATTTGAGTACCCTCTGTTCCGTCATACCTGATTGTACAAATGATAGAACATTCCAATCCAGAAAAGATCGGACAAGAACTTGTTCAGGCCAACTTTAGCAATTGCATCCTTGAATCCATACTGCATCAGCTGAGGAGCTTCAATCTGAAAGTTAAAAAGAAAAATAAATCCAAATATTTATTTTCGAGAAATTTGGTTAAAAGTCCAAATTTTAATCAACATATTTAATCTAAGAAACTCACCAATATAGCGGGTGGGAGGCAAAACAGGAGAGCTATTATTGAAATGTATGCGTACACGTTAGTGCTGTCCATTCCCGTCTGTCACAAACAATTTTTTGTAAGAAAACGTTTTAATGGAGGCATTGCAAACAAGTATTTTGAAAATTTTAGCATCGACATTAAATTTCATGTTTGTTTCGTATGTAAGCTTAATGACGTATGAACTTCTGAAAGATCTTACCATGGCTTTCTTCGAATAAATACTTCTGTAAGTAAATGCAATGTTCGAAATCATTGCACTAATGAAACCAGTCCAGTTAAATGAAAGTTCCGTCAGTGATGCCATGGACACACCTAATCAGGAGTTCAGAAATAAGCAATTACAAGATTTGCTCAAATTCTACTTTATCAGATTCTGATTATCAGATTCTTTAAGAAAATGTCTTCTCTAGGCATAAGAATTCAAAACTTGGTTGCCTAGTGATGCCAAAAATTCACTTCGATACCAGAAGAAATATAATTTTGCGTTGGCAAGTGCATGAATGCACAATTATTTTCTGTTAAAGGCATGTTCACCAAAGAAAAATCAGTACAATCAGTCATACTTCATTTAATGGCTTCCTTGATACTTTATAACTCAATAACTCCTTAACTCAAGTACAAGATACTAAAGATGTGTATGGACAAGCTTAGAAAGTCTACTTTTAAGTAAATAAGAAATATTTTACTGATCAATATGAGAAATAAGTAATCTAGTTACTTTGTCCATAGGATAAGAGTTACAAAGTACAAAAAAGTAACTTTTATGAACATGTTTGGAAACTAGAAGTCACTTTACTTGTATTTAAACTTGCCAAACATGACATGAGTTTTGCCAGAGAAATTCACAATGAACCTATCCAATGAATTGAATTCAAGGATAGGGAACTATCATATAAACCAATTCAAGAGATGGATGTGAAATATTGATCTTACAACTTACCAATCACAACCGGGGCCAAGGACAGCCACAAGGAAAATGGTATTTGGTGGCCTAAAATGAACTGAGAAGCAGCAGCATTGAAGAATGGCTCTAAGGCTGTTGAAGGGGCATAGTTAGATCATCAAAAGCAAGAAAAAAAATAAGGAAAAGAAAGGATAAATTATAATAAGCTGACTGCCCGTATCAAATAGGATTTGATAGTGTTATAGAAGAAAAAGAAGTTAAAATTTGAGCCCATTGTACTGTCAAATATAGCAGACTTAGGAAACTAAGGAACTAGTTCACAAAATCCGTTTGTTACCCTTGATGGTATGTGTAAAAGATACAGCGACAGCTGCAAACGATACATTTGACATGACATGTCCGAGAGCATGACAAAATGCTACCGGAGTGAGGAGTGCTAAGAGCTCCTTGTCAATCGGCTGCTCATCAGAATCAAAAGCTTAAAGTAAATAAGAAAGCTAATAAATCATATATACGAATTTGCGATAAATGTTACTACAAGTTTTTAATGGTGAAACTCACGGCACGTTTTGGTAGGCCAACACCCCAGCTGAGAAGACAATATACCCCTCCGACTAGAAGATGCACAACTGAGACAAAACTGTAGAAGGGCATAGATAAAACATCAACATATGAACATGAGAAGAGGGACTTTTAACGGCAAATTACTAAAAAAAAAAAAAAAAAAAAACCGTGAAAATCAAGAATTTGGTAAAACTAGAATTCTTGAAAGCATTTAAACAACAAAAACTTACTATGGATATGGGAAATAATTATAGACCTTCTTGTTAAGTATATTGAATATAACATTCAGGAAGTACCTGCATCAGCACCATCAAACAATTGATTCAAAATTTATTGCAGGGCCCCAATTATGTGTAGGCAAACAATTCATCCATTACGAGGCATATAAGCACAATCAATAATGGCTACTTATTCTGACAAAATCTTATAAGTTAAACCTACTACTGATTTACAAAAGTTAATCATCCTTCACAATATATGAATATAAATTCAGGAAGAAAAAATATAAATATGTTAAAAATTTCTAGATTACCATGTAAAGAAAAAGAATCCAGTAACAAGAGCTGGAAATCTCTGTGCAAAGCTCTTAGAAGACCTGTCAATGTAAACAACAAAGCATTTTCAGTGTTAAAAGAGACTTAAATATGAAAACAATAATCAATGTATACCCCAAAAAATATATATCCTATCAAAGTCCAAAAAAACTCAACAGGGTAATTTAATCCTTCTAAAGCTCGAACAAGTTACGTTTCTAAAACATGACAAGGACGATTCCTCTCAACTAGGTTGACCTTTAATGTACAAACTCGAAAGCTCTAAGTTAGAACTAAGGAAAAAAAGAAAAAAAAGAAAAAGAGAAAAAGGAAAAGAATAATTATATGAGTGGAAAAAGCACAAACCCACTAGAAATTTCAATCTCATGACCCTCTGCATCAGCTGCTGCAGCTTTTGCAATACAAGATTCACGGTGCTTCAATATATGATTCAGCCCTGAAATTCCCAGTGATTTTCCAGCAAATTTTACTGGTGCTGTAAAAGATTCAATCTTTTTTGGAGAAAATTCTAAGTGATGGGCTCTTGAAATAACTTGTCTACTTGTATGTAAACTTGAAAATCTTGATTTTTGAAGTGAAAACTGAGTCAAATTTGAGATTGAAGCCATTGAAAAAGAAAGAAAAAACAATTGATACAAAACTTTATTGGAGAACAATAAAAAGAGTCATTCTTAATCTCGAGTTGAAAATTTTGAAGTTAAATAAGAGAAAACATACAGAAACAAAAGTATCTTACGTTGACACCAAGGACTAGTTTAGCTTAGAAGCGGAGATGCCAAAGTCGAAGGATTCATTATCATAAACAAACGTAAATTCTATAATTGGGATGTCATTTTTAAACAAAATTTAGAGTTATTCTGTCCAAATGCCATTTGAAGAGTTTCTTCAGTAGTTATTAAAACGTAGGTGCATGCATCTACAACAACTAATAATTTGACTTGAAAATATTTTTTAATATTTCAAATAATGTAATTCTTTAACACTGTCTCTTAATTTTAAATCATTTTACAAAAAGGAAAATAAAAATAAAAAATAAAAAGATTAGTGAAATATTGGTAGGTCTATGAATTGAGTTAGTCCACAGCTTTAACGGACCTTGAAGGGCTAAGCTAGAACTATATTCTAGAGTCTGGTCCATTTTGACAATGTAATGCATATGGGAAGAAAACTTCGAACTAGGACAATTATTAGGTATCTAAATGCTTTGTTTGATTCTCGCACTTGAATATATCTTAACAAAAACAGGCCGTGAATTGTGATATATATGAACTGAGCTGACGCATATGAATAAGTCGTCGTTTCTCAAATCGCCAATTTCACAATCATCTTTGCAATATCACTACAAGAAGGGCCTACATATCTTTGATCACTAATTTTATTATGTTTGATGTCAATCAGTAATTTAACTTTATTTATAATGATTATTTACTTTAAATATTTAAAGTAATTTTTTATTTTTTTTAAATTGCCAATTTCCCACTAGTCTTTACACTAGTTATCATGTCTACTAAAACGGCCTAGCTAGATACCGTTGATCACCACTAATTCTATTATATTTAAAGTAATTTAAACTTTATTTGTATTGATAATTTAATTTAAATATCTGTGATAATTTAGTTATTTTATTATGAGCCCTCTAATTTGACTAAGAGAAAAGTTGACGTACGTGACAAATATAAAGGTTCAAAACATTTTCAAGATAAAAGTGAGAAAATTGGATTCTAAAAAACTCTTTATTTTAATTTTTTAAAATAAGTAATGGGTTTGGATGTCTATATTTGGAAAGTAATCTCTCCCTATATTTATTTTATGATGATTGCATTAACAAATTAAAATTTTCAATATTTTCATTACTTAAATTATTCATATTATATTGAACAATATCTACGAAATTTGTGAATAATAAGTAGGTTGTAAATTGTGAATCCTATAAAATATATTTGAATTATAATTTAAAGTTTACCAAACATGTTGTTAGTTGGAAAATAGATAAATTTTCATCACCTCAATCTATTTAATTATTGATGGAGTGATTAAGTTAATGTAAAGATAACCTTGTGATGACTAATATGGAAATAGTAATGCTATTGATCGTCATCAATGGAACAACACGAAAGTTCAAACTTGAACGACCCTATATCGATTTAACTCATATTAAAACATTTTTAATGTTCAAATTTTAAATTGAAAACCCATACTAAATATGAAAACATAAACTCCTTTAATTTTCTCAAAATCAGGAAAAGGAATTAAATTTTAAATTAAAAAAAAATCGACCTCTTTTTTTCTTTTTTCCTTTTTTGGGTGGGTTGACTTTGGATTGTTACGTTGAGAGTCATAGTTCATGGTTTAAACTAATAAGCATGGACATATGAAATTATAATTATTGCAAGGTCAAATTCAACACCATTAAAAAATTTATAATACAAGACATTTAATTTCAATGTTATTATATTATCATTTTTCCTAAACGGTATTGAATAGTCGATCATATCACATAAAATAGAGATTTTTGCAATTTGAATGGCAATCCTTATAATCGTAGCAGGAAATAGGCCCATTCATGTATTTACTTTTTAAAATTCAAAAAATAGGTATTTAATAAAGTATTTCTTAAATCAGGTGTTACAAAAGAATATATATATATATTTTTTTTCAAAAAGCCGTAATCCAACATTTCCTTCCTTCATTACCTCCACCATGCACCACACAACACCACTATCTCTCCACCAACTTTGCCAAAATATAAGTCCAAGCACCACAAAAATACACCTTCGTCTTTGAAATCTGATTTTAGTACGATAGGACGTTCAAATTGAACTGAAAATATTACGGTTTGGCATTCAATTTGGTTGAGATTTTATGGCACTTTTGAAATTCACATCAAACATAATATGTTTCAGAAATGGTTGAAAGTATGAAATGGTCACAAAACTCAACGTTGAGCTGACAGTTGAGGAAAGGAATCTGCTTTCGGGTGCACGCAGAGCTTCTTGGCATATTATGTCTTCCATAATCCATTGAGCAAAAGGAAGAAGAATCGAAAGGAAACTAGAACAATGTTAATCTGATTAAGGGTTATCGCCAGAAAATCGAGAATGAATTATCCAAGATTTACTATGACATTCTGTCCATTATCTGGTCCCCAACTGTTTTCTCTTACACTTTGTTTTTTTTTTTTTTTTTTTTTTTTTTTTTTTTTTTTTTTTTTAATTTTATTTTTATTGCTGAGTTGGATACTTTGGGTGAAGCTTTTAAGAGACAACCTCACTCTCTGATTTGCCTGAAGATGGAGGTAAATTATCATCATCTTTTTCATGTGCGCTCGGTCCAAACTTAAATCTGTCAAAGCTGAGACAGAGGAACCTAAAACAGCACAATCCGAGGTAAAAATTCTTCATTCTTTTCATCCATGTTGTCTAAGCGAAACAATCTTCTACCATAACTAAATATGCATCTAAAATCATGTTTGTTTTGCAGCATTAATTGCGATCATCAAGAACAACATTGCATCAAACAATTTGGGTTCCTCAGAGGGTTTTACATTTTCCAGTTTCTGATCAAATTAGAGCAGCAAGTCTCTGTAGGCAGTTCTCCTAATGTTCCCCTGCGTTACGTTTTCAGTTTTTTTTTAGAAGAGTGCCAACTTAGACGCGAGTCCATTCCACATTTTATAAGTTACTTATTTTGTTAGGAAAATAAGTAATTCAAAGAGGAGTTGGAATTTGCTGTCCAAAATTAATTGTCCAACTTGCTATCCTCTCAATGATTTGTTAGATACTTATACAATAAATATGATATGTGAAAAAAATAACTAATTTAGATGAAGTGTCCAAGTGGTGGAAATTGTGAAATTTGTGTGGGAGGTCGGGGTGTATGGGTCACATGATCACATCCCATGAAATAATATAAAAGTTTTTATTGGAGCCTTGGCCTTGGGCTCTTGACCTTCATTGATTAAAATAATTTTTTTTTATTTTGATTATTTTCGAAATTATTTAATGAACCCAACTAAACAGTATAAAATATGATCGTTTTTTAACAATCCACTATTAACAGCCCATTACTCACAATTCAGTAAATATTTCTAGATCCTAGTGAAGGCAGTTAGATCCATTTTGCTTGGATACACACCCATCTGGTTTTGAAAAAAACACATAAAAAACGAAATTATAATTTTTCATATTCTGAAATTTTTATACTTGAATTTTTGCATATTTTTTTGGATTACACTTGAAACTTCTGAAAGATTATTCGTGATTGCTGCACAAGTTGTTTGTGATCGTTGCACCCTGGCAATGATTTTCCACAAAAGCAGAGGCAGATTTAGGGGGGTTGGGCTAGGTTGTAGCCCCCCTCTCAGGCCCAATAGCTTTTTTAAGGTTTTTTTTTTTTTTGTGGTAAAAAACTAGTTTTTTGTGTGTAAAAAAAAATTTCGGCATCGTAGCCCTATTTGAAATTTTGTAGCCCGATCTTGAATTTAATCCTGGATCCGCCCCTGCACAGAAGTCTTAGCGGTTATTGACGAGCAATTTCACTTTAAGATATCGTGTTGTCATAAGATTTGATCAAACGATAAAATTTTTTTCAGCATTTTACTGTTATGCAAGCTTTTGTAACTAATTATTTTCTAACATGATCCTTGGTACATTACTTTAAATTTACACGTTCAACTTTTCCTTTAGTACTTAAATATTTTTTCAATAAATCATTAGTTGACTACAAGTTGAACAACAAATTCAGTACCGTCTAACTCTTCAAATAGTCCCCAAAAAGACTTCCTTCTTCCCAAATGATCCGGCCAACTAAATTACCCATAAACCTCCGTTCCTCTCCATCTCCACCGTCAGACTTTAACCACTGGCAGCGGCGGTTCTATGGCGACCACCACCAGCCATTCACCTCTTGCCCAACCCGTAACACCGGTGAATCAAGGTTCCTCCTCTGAGTCTGCACAATTCTCTATTAACAGCAAAACTTTCCGGGATCCCAAACTCCACAACAGCCTTACCCAAACCCCCTTCAATCTGTCTGCAACAATTTTCAATATTCATGGCGACCCGTTTCCAGATTCCACATATTTTCAGCTACCCAACCCCATTTCACTCACACCTCCACCAACTTCAACAAGATGCTTAATGTTGTAGGAAAATCAGGAAACATTGAGCTTTTTTGGGACTTATGTCAAGCAATTGCAATACTTCATTTTCTTAATATTAAGACATATATTATTGCATTAAGAACACTGGCTGCTACTAGGGAATTGAAGAAATGTGTTGAATTTCTCCATTTAATGAATGGGTTTGGGTATGATTATAGAGTTGAGGTTTTGAATAAGGTAGTGAAGTCTTTCTGTAAAAACAAGCTCGTTGTGGAGGCTAAGCATGTAGTAATGAAGTTGAAAGATTGTATCAAATTAGATGGAGAGGCTTATAGGTGGTTACTATATGGTTTTTCTGATGTAGGTGACTTGATTGAGGCCTCAAAGGTGTGGAATTTGATGGTGGATGAAGGGTTCGAACCGTGTATTAATGTGGTCGACACCATGTTGGACGGTCTTTTCAAGAATAATAGATTTGATGAGGGGTTGAAGCTATTCCAGTCCATGAGAGTGAAGAGGATGGAAAATTTAAGGCTATCAAAATATCGGGTTGTGATCAATTGGATGTGTAGAAAAGGTAAGCTTGGGGAGGCTCGAAAGGTGTTCAATGAAATGTAAATGAGAGGTATCAAAGCCGATAATGAAACATTGGGGTCGATAATTTACGGACTTATGGGCAAAGAAAGAGTTAGGGAGGCTTATAACACTGTGGAACGGATAGAAAAGCCTGATATAGATGTGTATCATGGGATGATCAAGGTGC